TGCTGTGCCACCATTCACCCACACACTTAGTAATCATCAAGTCTGAGCCTCCATTATCTTATGCAGCAGATGGACGGCGCCATTAGTTAACATGCTAAAGGAGAGAGAGCGAGATCTACTCGAATATGCTGAGCCAAGTGTCCCAACAGAATGCTGTTTTTTTAACCATTATCTACCCAATATTTCTTCTAGGGGGGGGAGAATTTTCCTTTACCCAAATTTAGGTAGCGGAATCCCACTGGCCACGACTACCGTGAGAAGCGGTCGAGATTGGTGACAAACCGCGCCACCCCGGGCCAGTTCTGAAGAGCTGTCGCCTCCTTACCACTTCCCTCGACAGTTGAACCGCAATGTTAGAGAAAGTCACTCCCGTCGTGACCCCTCTGCATCGTTGAATATATTGTCTTGTCTTCCATCGTCTACAAGCCTCTTCTTCCTCGATCTAACACACTTCACTTTCCTGGTCCTGTCTCATTCTGTTGAGGAAAACGGTTGAACAATGCAGGAGATCAGATTTTATTTGGCCGCCTCATCAAGGAGAAAAGCACCAAATGAGAGAAAATCGAGATAGGAAGGGAGAGAGGAAATATAAGGTGCGGGATGGGAAAACAAACATGAAGAAATTATTAGGACGTAGCATTACGCAAGGTAGCATAGAAGTTTACAAGAAAAAAGCAACATTAGATCCACATTCTAACACATTCCTTTATATTAGATTTCATTCGTTTTAGTGATAGAGTGGGTCGCTTTCGATTGGCTGTTGCTTATTCAGCGGCTATGTCGTCTAAGCCGGGTATTTTATCTTCACACCCTTTAGGCTTGAAGTAGTATATTTGTGTGGGAGTAGTGATGCGCCAATTGCTGAAAGTCCCTCCAATGATTGATGAGGTCATTGCTACTCTCGCTTTTCCTTTAGTTTCCCCCGGAGTCACCGGAGTCGTTCGAGTCGAAGATATCGGACACTATGGTTCTAAATTATCCACCGAGTGAGGTGGTCCACAAATTGTCAGTTTCTACAATATTTTTAATTTTTCCAGGAGCATCTGGTGGTGTCGGGAATGTGGGCACTAATTTCATGATCCATCGCAAAAGGATATTCCAAGCACCGTATGTCTACCCCTAGTATCTATCTAGATGTCTATGTATCCGCCCACTGATGGGTTATGCGGAGGAATGCGAAAAGATGAGATGGGAAAAACACGAAAGAAAGGATGAAAAAATACGAAATAAATGCATTCGGGGGAAAGGAAAGGGTGTAAAATTCCAGGATTAATACGACAGGCAAAAAAGATCGATACGGTGATATGTGCAAAATGAGGAATGAGACCACGTCCCTCACCCGTCCCGCGTCAAACACTATGACCAGCAATTCACAGTTTTCACCCAATTACACAAGCAAACACCGGTATGTTTTAGAGAGGTGTATATATACTCTCCCGGAGATTCACCGCGCCCTATCCCAACGGAAGAAAAGTGGCGGGCTCGGGTTGTGGGACTGATAGTTGATCAGCGAGAAGAAAGGTAGGGTAATGGTTGTGTCGGCAAGAAGGTATAGCACGCCCCGGGTGCGAAATTATACCAGTAGTAAAAAGATCGGGGCGGCCGAAGTAATGAGTGCGGAAATGACACATGTACATGTTCATTGACGGCGAGGATGAAAGGGAGGTGACAACCCCCCAGAATCAAATTGCGCTAGTGGGTACGAACTCATGGACTTGTAATAATTTCATTAATACTTCGTTTCTTCGCCTTGAAGTCTACAAGACTGGTGCTCTGCTCCATTTGTCTGGCATGTTGGGGTTGACTTCTTCCCGCTTGAGCAGTAGCTTCACCACTCCGTCGTGCCCTTTTATGGCGGCACAACAGATTGGTGTTCTGCCCCATTTGTCCGGTATGCTAGGGCTGACCTCGTCCCGTGCAAGTAGCAGATTCACAACTACCTCGTGCCCGTTTAGGGCAGCCCGCAAAAGTGGTGTCTGGCTATCCTTATCTGCCATGTTGGGGTCGACTTCTTCCCGCTCGAGCAGTAGCTTTAGAATTCCCTCATACCCTTTTATAGCAGCCCACGAGAGTGGCGTTACTCCCCCTTCATCTGGCGTTTCGGGGTTGACCTCGTCCCGAGCCAGTAGGAGCTTTGCGATTCCGTCATGCCCTCCGATGACAGCACAACAGAGTGGTGTTCTGCCCCACCTATCTGGCATAGTGGTGCTGACCTCTTCCCGCGCGAGCAGCAACTTCAGAACTCCCGTATGACCTTTGCAAGCAGCCCACAAAAGTGGTGTTTGGTTATTCTTGTCTGGCATGTTGGGGTTGACTTCTTCCCGCTTGAGCAGTAGCTTCACCACTCCGTCGTGCCCTTTTATGGCGGCACAACAGATTGGTGTCCTGCCCCCTTTGTCTGGCATATCAGGGTTAACTCCTTCCCGCTTGAGTAGTAGCTTCACCACTCCCTCATGCCCTAATATGGCAGCACACGAGAGCGCCGTTTTTCCCAGCTTATCTGGTATGTTGGGGTCGACGTTTTTCTGTTCGAGCAGTAGCTTCACCATTTCTATATGCCCCTGCGCGGCGGCCCATACCAGTGGTGTCACACCCATACAGTCTCGTTTGTTGATACCTGAACCATTCCTTTCCATCAAAGCTGTTACCAACTCACCAATTCCAAAGAACGACGCACAGTGGATTCCAGTGAACTGTGAAGGACCGTTGATACCCTCGCTACACTCGGGCGCCATGAAGGTCTCCAAAAGCATTTTAGTGGATATGTGATTCTCGTACCGGCCCAAGAGTCCCATGGAAAGCGATTTCACATGATCTGTCATTCCCTTTCTTGCATGGGTCCCCCAATGTCGAGAAGCATATTGCAGAAAGGGCACACATCCCAAATCAGTAACAGGATGAGAAGAGAGGGCTTTGACGCGCCGCAAATTCAGGTACGTCAAACACGTCTCCGCGATTGTTGAATGAGCGCTCGGGAAAAGATCGAGATAAAAGGTGAGGTACTCTTGGAGGGTATGGTGAATCAATCGCACAATCGAAGCTTCCTTATCAACCATGATAAGTCCCTGACAGAAACCTATCAATGTACCTATTAAAGGAACATTATCGCTGTTGAATTCCGCGGACCCCATCTCCACAGCGAGGGCGTGGCAGAGCTCGTCTACCTTAAGCGGCCGTTCCGAATAGCATATCCACATCAGAGTCCTCATAGCAAGCTCTGATCTTTCCCCATTTTGTGCTCTTATCCGTTCCAAAGTTGCACCATATGCCTCGTCTAACCCTAGCCCTAACCGATCGGTCATCGCCCCGAGTCTCCTCCGCCTTTGGTGGACAGTTGTTTCCTGCAGGATTGCCTCGATATTAAGGGAGACTAAGAGGAATCTAGATCCATATATATAGGTCAGCAAACGACCTGAGGTGGATTTGCTGGGCCTCTCGCTCCTACATACGTTTCTGATATCCCTTCGGGAATACTCCTCATAATATCTTCCTTCAACTCGCTGTTCATCACCTCCGGTGTTGTGTCCTTTTTGAGTCTCGCCTCCAGATACATAACGATATCGTGTTCCGTAGGTGTTATCAGTAGACTTGCCGCACTTCCACCAAGCTGCCTTTCAACCTCACCCTTGATGTGAGGTCTTCCGGTCATGAATACCCGCATGTTTGGCGATTTCTGTAGGATCTGACCTAGGGAATCAAGAACCTCGAATCGATTCTCCGGCACACATTCATCAAGAGCGTCGATGCATATAAACGCGTGGTGCGCAAACGAAACAGTTTGGAGCATCCTCAAAATTCCTGAAACCTCTAGTCCGCGGCCACCAATGACCTTTTTCTGCTCTCGGTATTCCTCCACTACCTCTTTCGGCATTTCTTCCAGCCCACTCACAAGCTGTTTGAGCAAAGAGCCAAACATGTTTGTCGGGGACTGTTCCTTCCGGGAAGCAAAATCGAAGTAAAAGCAGCTGACGCCAATATTTTGTTCTCTGGCCCAGTCGCATAAAGAGTCCACCACCAGCGAACTAGCACCGCGACTTGTCAGCAACACCCCTTCCTCCCCGTGCTCCAAAGATCGTTCTTCTTACGTGATGAAGCTCTTTCCGGCTCCAGGATTACCGTAGCAGAACAAGCCCGCGCGGTGTGACTCATCCTTCTCTCTCCCGTTGCGCCAACTATTGTATTCCTTGGTTTGAAGCAACCAGTCACCCACGTTCTCCACCCTCTGAGTTCGGATATCGTGATGCCGTACCCGTGGCTCTAAAGGTGATAGCCAAGCTAGGATTTTTGATTCCTCATCTGCAACTCTAGTGTTGAAGCTATTCGAAATGTTGAAAGAGTTCATGTTACTACCAAGTTGAGACATTATTTTTCAGTTCTTTTCCGGAAGGTCTATAGAAAGTATAGTGTCTGTTAGCCTGAGGGCGATTGACGAAGATGCTGGCTGGTGAGGAAAAGCGGGGTTGATTGCACAGCCCAGAACCTTGCTCTCTACTTGATGATGGCACATCAATCCATCCGAACGTTGTGCCACCAACACTATCCCAGTATGGAAAAATACGGGTAGTACCAACTTTGCTTTGAGCTGGTAGGCAACACACTGGTCACGTGTTGTGCCCCAGTTCGGACACTGAAGAAACCCAAAATCTGGGTATTCATTATCTTACGCCGCAAATGGGTAGCCTCAATTGGCTGACATGCTACAGTCGAAAGATGAGAGCTATGCTGAGCCAAGTGCCCACCGAATGGTGTTTTTTTAACCATGATCTACCCGATCATTCTACTGAGCGGGGGAGAATTTCCCAATCCCAAATTTAGGTAGAGGAATCCCACTAGCCACGACAGCAGTGAGAAGCGATCAAAACTAGCGACAAGCCACCTAGGATTAGGGCCAGTCCTTAAGAGCTGCCACCTTGCGCTTTACTTCCTTGGGCTATTGAACCGTGTTGTCAAAGCAAGTCACTCGTTCCATATCTTCCTCTCGGCGACATAATAGAGCAGTCTGTGCTTCAAGATCCACTTCGACCCACTCCACAAATAGCAAAATCACAAATACCCACCACTGAGATCAAAATTGCAAATTTGATAACCCAATCTCCTCACCACCTTCTAGGCGTCGCCTAAGGACTACTCAACCCCCACCCAAACACTTAAGATAAGCTAAACCTCACCCCCCCCATGCCCCACAGCCCACAAACACCTTTTCGTCCTCCAGCCCAATTTCACATACATCTCCACTGCCACCCAATTAGCACAAAATACGGTAATCCAAACCTCTTCCTTCTCCCCCTTCAGGAACCCCGCCAAAAGCATCCTGGCCAACCCTAACCTCCGATAACCTTCCTTGGTCTCAAGGGTGCTAACATAACTCTTCCTCCCATCCTGGCCCCTAACAACCGTCATCCAACTAACCACCTCTTCACCACCTTCCCGCCCATCCGTCGTGACAACCCAAACTTCCTCGCCGCCAACACTTACAATTCCAGCCATAGCGGGAAACTCCCCGACAAACCAGCTCTCCCCCCTCCCCAATTTGTACCCTTTCACAACCCTCTGCTCTTTTATCCCCCCCGGCGTCAGAACCATCTCGTAGAGCAAGTCCACGCGCATGGCACGGTTCCCAATCCCGATGGCCCACTGAACAATTCTCTTGTCGTATGTATTCACCATGAGCTTTCGGTGATTGCCAGCGAGCGGCGGAGTAGCGAGGAGGGCGTACATCTGCTCAGACGGGTTCGGGATGTCGGTTTCTCCATGCAAGATCAGCCAGACGCGCTCCACAGTTTCGTTACTCGCAGCGGTGTACAAAGTGAAGTGCGATGGGGGGATCGGGGTCGCCAAGAAGGGCTTTGGCGTCGGGTGGGAGATGTGTGAGGGGGCGGTGTGGAGGTAGTGGTGGGCTATAAGGTCGGAGGCCATGATCAACGGGGCATCTATCCGGTTGCTTGGATGGATCGGGAGGGTTGTTGGGGTACCGTAGCTATCGTAGCGAGCGAGTGAATGAAGGCGAGCCTATTTGCCCCAATGCGGGGCACTTGCTAGGACGCCAGATTATTAACTTTGGGAAAAAAATGCGATTTCTCGGCCACTAAACCCGACTAAGCGAACTCTGATGTGAGCCGAGCCTCATGGGAACACAAGCGACCTGTCAACCTCAGCTATCGGCAAATTATCGTACCAGTACTGGCATGTCTTGAACAGTGACGCCTCGGTTACCCGGCCCCGATAATCCAAATATCCTACCGGTGGCCCGCTGTCCCGCAAGGAGTTCCGAACCCTACTTCCTGTGATATCATACAAAGGGTTAACTTATCCTATGATACGTTGCCATCAGCCGTGAAGATATGAAGGGATCCGGCGGACTCAGTGGCCAGCGGACTGGACCCAACAACTGCAGCTAGAACTGCTACGGTGTAGCACTCGCTGCATGTCGAAGGAGGTATGGGAACCGCGTTAAAGGCAATTGACACGCACTTGGGCAAGGTATTCGGATGAGTTACCGTTGCCGGTATCGGGAAAAAAATTAATCGCGCGAACTACGATAGAAGTTCTGCTAACTTCGTGCAGAGATGACTGTTGGACGGAAATCTCCCCTGGCTGCTCGCCGCATATTTACCCCTACAGCAAAGACTCAACAACCCTAACCCTCTTGACCTATATCAACTACTCGGATGCCTCTACGTTTGACTACAGGTTAGTCCTACACATCAAACAACTCCTACGACAACTCCTACGACAACTCCGTTTGGAGGTCTTACTCATATCATGTGGAGGTACCGAATATCCTCGGTCATACTCTTATCCTCGGTTAGAACTTACCCTCGGTCAAATCGTCTCATCCCCGGCCGAAATAGCAAATGGGAGGCAGTGGGATTGAGCAGTGGGATTGAGCATGATGAATAACACGGCATACGCTGGAAGCATGTGGGAAGGGATCAGGATGTCTTCCGCCGAGCCTTCTTCTCGAGAAACGAGAACCTTAGCGCAGCCGACGAGCATGGGGACCCGCGATGAGACCTGTCGTGCGAGCAATTACATGCGGGAAGAGATTGCGCGATTGAGCGTTTCCCCCATCTATCAATCGATTCTATCAGCCGCTATCATTCTCTCCCCTCCCACCCCCGTCCTTTGCGTCATCTCGTGCCATCTCCAACCGACGCGGCAAAGGCAACACACCTTTTCCGGGCCCAGAACCCAACATGACACCAGTAGCCGCCTACACTACATAGATCTAACCTCCAACCAACCTGTCTCATCTACATAGAACACGACTAGGGCAGGAAGGATTTTTGTGGCCAAGTTAGTCTTGGGATTTGTCAGAGGGGTTGGTCATAGTGGCCACCGTAGGGCCGCTTGTATGTTAGTAGCGTTTAACGAGAGGTCATTTTTGGAGCGGGGTGTGAGTGCTCTACTATACCTCGGGGTGGCCGGTCCTACGGGATGAGATAGCGGCTTTTTTAAAGGGGGTAGCTGAGGGGGTGTGTGGCAGCGGGATTTCACGAGTGATGTCTCATGATTCCAATTCTGCCCACATCTATTCCCAAAACGGAACAAGTATCATGGTACAGGTACGAATTGGCCAGACGCGGGTCTCGAAGTTCATTCTGTGAATATACCCATTTCTCGGGGATAAAATTTCCAGTTTTATCTATTACCTCAACTAACGAAAACCTCCAGCACATCTCACAGCCCAGGGTGTTGAAACTCTTGATTTGCTTTGGATGTTTATCTCTTCGGACATGACGTATACATTTATGCTTGGTTATCACCTTGGACCACCAATAGAACACAAACATCTACTACATACAGGATACATTTTGCTATTTCTTTGGATTAGAATCATTAGATATCTTGCCATCTTGTTTGGTATTTGTAATATTTCGGTATGCCATGCATATTTATGCGCTCACAACCTATAATTGTTCCCTTCACACCATAGCTACGAAGGTTCGCACATGTCACCGGAACCCCTCGGCAGGTTTTCGGGGTCAAGCATGTTGCCCTGGTTCTTAGTTTGTTTTCTTTTCTTCCCCAAGTGGAGGAGATAGACTTGAATACATCAGGGTCTTTACCCCCTTTACCTAAGTATTGAGGATCAGAATACCTATGATATCAAGCTATGATACCTACTAAAGCACTACCCCTGATTCAAGTGTGCACTGAATATCATAACGAGTCTGCATTTTCCTCAAGAGTTGTTAAGAACCCACTAACGATTAACCAAATTCAATACGCGGGAGCACTACCGTGGTGGGAACCATATTCCAAAGGTTACAGGATGGTGAAGTATTTGCTGAGAGGAATCGTGTACGGCGCGACCGGGTCGGGTGAGTTTACAATCAGAATTCACATTCCGAGTGACGAGTAAATAAAGTGGCGTGCTATCGTATGATACAGCATTGGGCGGAGGCCAATTGGGGGGGTTTGCCACGTCGTAGAGGGTGCAGGGCCTGGAGTTAGTCAAGTCCTTGGCCCATCAGACGTAGGGCGTCGGGAAGAATAAAAAAAATGAATGAAAAAAATGAATGAAAAAATGAAAAAAGAGCACTTCGGCACACAGTCCGCCTCGCCCGCCTCCAAGATTGACGGACCGGATCGCTAGGACCGCCGGATGGATTTCTTTGGTGGCAAGGAGCTGCGACAGACTGTAGAGTGACAGATTAGAACAGTAGAGTACATCAATTGTGGGGTAGGAAAACCTTGCGTTATCATTACTTTGCGATCGATGGGCGGTGCTTGGCTGCTCTGCTCACGTTCGCGGTCTCGCTATTTGCAGGCCACGGGCGGGGAGAGATATTTTTGCTCGCTTTCGGGAGGGGACGAAACGTCTCTGTGGGTGGCCTGTTTCCCACCAAACATTGGGAAAAAAACCCTCCCTTTTTTAAATGTTGGTGGGTCATCGGAAAATGGATCTTATTTTCCCAAGCTCTTGATTTCAAAGTCATTTTATGCGTGTAATGTCTCATGGTTGATTTGGAGCACGCGCCATTGCCAAATGAAGGTCCCAGGAGGCTGCAAAGCCCCATCACCACATCAGGGTCATCATTACCATCAATTTTCTAAGGCAACCGCCTCGGGAGCGCCGCTCGACAATATCCCAACCCTTGGCAAGCCGTAGCATGATGAAAAGGGTCAGGGGCACTTAAATTGTGAGAGGATAATGCGTGTATATATATCTTACTGCGTGGGTAGTATCCGGAGCGGCCTCTGTTAGGGGACCGGTATAGGAGCTTGGCTAAAAACACTCAATCAACCTTTTAAAGTGGCGAAATTTGCTGTGAATGTGCCCAATCAGGCCCCTTGCCAACCTGTTTATGTTGGTTCGGCGGGGACAAATGCTATCCCCCGAACGCACGGTATCATACCAAAGCCAGCACTTGCGATCATATCCAAAACCTTGGCTAAAGGTGGATAAGCAGCGGATACCGTGACATCTAAATAGGCCCTAACTCTGCGAAACATCGCTGATCGCCAAACAAAGTGAATGTTTGGCAGGCCGCGATGGTGGTTGAGATCGAGATCCGGCTTCCTTAAATCGCATGTTGAACTCAACCGCACTTGCCTGAAATCACATTTTGGGAATCACGTCTCGCCAAATGATTATCGTATCATACTCCCCCCCTCCCCGGATTCAGTTGGGAAAAAAACAGGTAAGGTTAAATTAGGGTTACAGGTGGATCCCTGCAAGAACCCGCTCAACCCCTGACCTAGCCCCTCCCGCATTGCCCTAGCTCTTATCTTTGATTATTAATCACACTCTAACCTAATCTTTTTACCCCTCCGGTTCTGAATGATCCAAATCACCACCCAAATCACGATTTCAAAGTCGGCGCGCCAAACATGTTTCACTTGGAAAACGCGATTTGGTTCTAAACCACGATTTCCAGTCGCAATCATGGCGCGCCAAACGGCCCCAGGATTAACCTTTGTTAACCCCGCAGTACGTCAACAAGGCATTCGAGCATTCGAGCACCCGATGCGAATCACACACGGCGAGTGAATACGTCCGTCCGGACCAGGGGAGGATAGCTCGACGTGATGGATGAGTCGGGGAGAAGGTGGCGTGAGGTGGCCTTCGCGCGGGAAGGCCGAGTCAAGTCAGGTTCGATTTGGAAAGGAAATTAGGTTGGAGAGGCCTTTATCCTCCGTAGCATACTCTACAATGGTTATAAGAATGGAGTAGCATCCCTTCCTGTACTCCACTCGATTGCGATATATATTATAACTCGCATGAGTTCTCGTGTCGGTCTCTTGTCGGAC